GGCCTGGGGTGCTTGGGCGTCTTGGATCTGCACCTTCCCACATGGGTGTGCTTAGCAGAGCGCTGCATTTCACCTCGTGCCACCAGTCAGCCCCCTTGCTTCTACTCCTTCTGCTCAGCCCTGACACCGCTCCCTCGGGTTCTGAAAGCACTGGTCCCACTGTGGTGGAGCAGCAGAAGGCTGTGTGCAGGTGGCAGAGGCCACGTGGAGCCCCGGGTTTGTGCCCAGCCCACACCAAACAGGGAGGGCACGGCGGTACACGCCTGGGGTCCTAGCTAAGCTGGGAGGCTGGGATGGGAGGATCGTAACATGGTGAGACCCTGTTAAAAAAAAAGATTCTCTTTCTCTCCCTCCCTAGACTCTCTCTCTTTCATTAAATAAGGTGTGAGTGGGGGGGAGCAGTTCATGGCCTTGTAATTAAGGCAGGTGGATCCCATAGGACAGACTGCACGACTACGTTTGAGTCTCAGGTCCTGCCCCTCTGAAACGTGCTGGGCACATGTGTGTGCATGTCCAAAATTCTGGAATGAGGGAAAGACGGAGAGAGGACTGTGGCGTGACCATGCCCTGAGGGAGGTGCTTTCTCGCTTTATCTGTCTTTCTGCCTCTCCGTCTTTCTCCTGCACGTTCATATGCCTTCTGGAAAATTTTAAAAAAAGAAAGAAAGGAAAAAAGTTCTGGAAAAAATGCAGGTCTCTCAGAAAGACGTCTAAGACACTCTCTAGTAAACTAATAGCAGTGCTCACTAGTAGGCCCTGAGCCCGTGGGCGCTCTGACTAAACGATATTTCCAGCTACTTCTCTTTACCGAAGGCCAGAAGCTGACAGCTATGGCAGTACAAAGTGTATCATTTGCTAGGGAAACAAGATGCCACGGAACTTTTTCTCACAGTTCTGGAGCCTGAAAGTCCAAGAACTGTGTTAGTAGTTTGGTGTCTTCTGGTCCCCCCTCTCCGTGGGTTGCAGCCAGCTGCCTTTTCTTCACGTCTTCACGTGCTTTTCCCTCTGGAAACACAATTCCTGAAATTGCTCTTTGTGTCCAGATTTCCTCTTCTTTTACAGTCACCAGTCTGACTGGATTAGGGCTGGCCCTCCTGGCCTCATTTTAACCTGATAATTTCTTTAGGAGTGCCATCACTAAACGCGGTCACACTCAGAGGTCCTGGGTGTTCGGGCTTCAGCACGTGAACTTGGAGGGGACACAGACTTGGTCTCTGGGAATCGACCCTGGGAAATCATTCACAATGATTGACCCCATTAGCCCAATGAGGTCTCGCCCTTCAGTCTGTGCCTTGCTGACATTTTTCAGTCTCCAGAGAGGAAGAGCAGAAGCCTGCAGAGCGGGTACCCAGCCATTTCACAACAGGCCCGCATCTCATCGGGAGGAAAGGTACCGCCTGGCAGATCTGCCTCTGGACTCGGCCTCCTACCTAAAAAGGCAGACCTTCGACAGATGATCCCAAGAAGTCTTGGCACCTCAGCCTGGGGAAGAAGCTTGATGAGAAGTCTGACTTGTTCTAGTTTCAAACAATCTCATCCACACCCAACAACAAAAACACTAGTCCTTTTCTTTCTTTTCCTTCCTTCCTTCCTTCCTTCCTTCCTTCCTTCTTTCTTTTCCCTCCTTCCTTCCTTTCTTCCTTCCTTCCTTCCTTCCTTCCTTCCTTCCTTCCTTCCTTCCTTCCTTCCTTTCCTTCTTTCTTCCTTCCTTCCTTTCCTTCTTTCTTTCTTTCTTTCTTTCTTTCTTTCTTTCTTTCTTTCTTTCTTTCCTTCCTTCCTTCCTTCCTTCCTTCCTTCCTTCCTTCCTTCCTTCCTTCCTCCTTCCTTCCTTTCTCTTTCTTTCTTTTTTCCTTTCTCCTTTTCTTCCCTTCTTTCCTTCCTTCCAATTTCCTTGTTTATTATTATTATTTTGTATAACTACCAGAGGGTATGCATGATTGCCAGGGAGAGAGAACAAGACGAGGGTGGGTGGTGGGTGGGAGACACCCTGCAATGGGGCATGCTCACTCTGCACTCCCCTTTCCCTCCATCCGGTTGGGATTTTGGGCATGTACATGGCACCTTGCACATTTCCAAACCACTAGGGCTGGGATTCAAACTACAGTCAGTCAGTCATATGGGATCTGGCTCCCTTAACTGTCAGGCCACAGGGCTGGCTCACAGATTTATGTCAAACCTGTAGGAATTCTCATTTAGCTGGGACCTAGGCATTGTTTGTAGACAGTTCTCCGTGGATCAACTGCATTTCTGCACCTATTACAAGCAGAGCTTATGTTCTAGACTAGTTTTTCAAGGATGTTTGTATAGTGAAAAGTCTTGGAAGATGGAGATAGCTTATCCCTCCATGTCTTCCACCAGAGTCCAGAATGGAGTGAAATGTCAGACCCTTTCCAGGTCTTGATAGGCATCAGCATTTTAGAAAGTGACTAGGTGGGACCAGCAGTTAGCGTAATGGCTATGTCGCTGGACTCCCATGTAGTCGACCGTGGTTCGAGGCCTGGACCTGGTGGCTTAAACTCACGCTGGGTGCCTGTGCATACATGCCCAAGATCCCAAGGGGAGAATGGAGGAGAAGGGATTGCAGCGTGGCCATCCCCCCGGGGGGTTAATTTCTCACTTTCTGTCTCTCTGTCTCTTTGTCTTTCTGGCAAGTGCATGCACCCTATAGCAAAAAATAAAAAAAAAAAAAGAAAGAAAGAAAGAAAAAGAAAGTGACTAGGTGATTTTAACAGACAGCTGTTTCTGAGAATCGCTGTCCTCAAGGAATCTTTACTGCTTTCTGCTAGCTTGCTGTCCTGAGGCTCCTCTCGCCATCGTGCCTCATCTTCGCTGCTGTTCTCTTCTTAGGTACCAATTCCTGCTACCTTGCCCCCCCCCACCTCCTGCCCTATTTGCCTCAAGTCTTCTTCAGACAATCTCTGTTTCCCACACCCATTTTCCCTGAACTGTCCTGGCTCCTCTTCGTCCCATTTTCTACAGCCTCGCCCCATGCCCATCCCCATTAGTATAGGCCAGTGGCTCCAGCCTCCTTCTGATCACTAAGGGGGGGATGGGCAACTGGGCCCCAAGGATCAAGAGTAAAGGATCGAGGGACCAGCAGTTAGTGTAATGGCTATGTCGCTGGACTCCCATGTAGTCAACCATGGG